AAAGAAACGATGCTGCTGAAAACAAAACTACATTACTTCATTTGTGTACATTTAAAAAGTAACAGACCACTGAAAACAGAATTACCATTATTAGCGTAATGGTTTTTTTCCCTTGTAAAAGCAACAGATCTCATGTGCTTTTTTTACTGTAAAATGTTTCTTTTTGTTTTAGGTCTTAACATATGCAGGTTTTTGCCATATCTTTTCATATTAATGGCTCAGCAAATGTTTCTGAAAATCTCATTCTGCAATATTGTCTTTTATACTGTTGATGTTTTGTTCTCTGTAATTTTTCCATCCCTCGTGTTTCTTTGATTTTTTTTTCAGAGTCTGTTCTTTTTTCATAGATTTTATTTATAATTGATACAAAAATTACTACTTAAGCTGACAAAGATGGCTTTTAGGGTAGACTGGGAGGCAAGCTAAATTGTTCCTATTTTATCTCTACCATTGAGAAGTATATGTTTATTTATTTATGTTGAAATGCATACTATTTTAAGGCTGATTGCTCTGTCTTACCTTGCTTAAATAATTTTAATAAGGTTTCACAGGTATTTTAATCTAACTTTTTGTTTGTTTTTAAGTGGCACTTAGGTCCATAGCCTAGTAACTGTGATGGTAGTGGATCAAGGGTTGGACTTGATGATCTCAGAGGTCCTTTCCAACCCATCTGAATCTATGATTCTATGATTCTATGCACTTATGTGCCTCACTGGTACTGAAGACAAAACATGACTCCACCTATGAGGTGATCTCATGAGAGAAGCATTTCTTTTGGCCTGAGTTTTTAGGATTGTGTATAACTGTTAGGTTGTAGCTTAGTTTGTAATAGCACTGATTGCATTATTGGATCTGCAAGAGTGTTGTGTTTTCTTATGACATTTTCAGTGCAGTGAGTCATAACAATAAAGCATAACATGGCTTCATTTGTGGTTTTTATACTGACAAAACATTCTTGGACATATCCTGCCATGTTACTTAGGATAGGCTTTAAAAGTGTCTTTAATTCAGATCCATTGTCTGTTTGTAAACTCTTAACTCGGTCCCCAGGAGCTATGCAGGCAGGTGACCCCATGGTGTTTCCCTTCCAGACAGGCTCATTTTGGGAATCAAGGCACTTGCAAGAGTCCTCAAGAGGTGGGGGAGTGCCAGCGGCTCCCCAGCTGTTTCCATCCCTTTTGTCCTCGAAATTAAGGACCAAGAAGGAGGAAAAAATGGATGGACCTGTTTAGGAATTCTTTTCTTGGCCTACTTTGTAAATAAACACGATTTGAACAACCTGGGTATGTCCATCACAAGGGAGAAGAGCAACTGACTGACCACCAGCAACCCTGGAGCTGGATCCCAGGGGACCCTCTATAATCCGTAGGAGAAACAGAGCCCTTCAGGGTGCAGGCAGAGCAGCCCAGGTCAGGTCAAGGGGGTTCTTGGCCAACTATCCTGTCCCAGTAGCCCTGAGCAGATGCTGAGGGAGAGGTGGAAGAGCAGAACAAGCTTGTATGAGGCTTCCCTGGAGTCCTTTTCCAGGACTCCAAGACTTCGAGTCAGGTGCAATTTCTGTGCATTTGGCAGCTCCCAGTTATGTCCACTAACTAGTCCATTCCCAGCTTGCAACTCTAACATCCATTCTTTCCTGTGGCAAGAGGTTGTAAAATATTCTTGGATATATCCTGCCGTGTTACTTAGGATAGGCTTCAAAAATGTCTTTAACTGGCACATTGTAACTGGTGGCTGTGCCAGAAAAGATTCCTTTTTATTAGTTTTGAGTTTATTGATCTTTTCTGTTACCTCCTAGTTCTTGTGTTGTACAAGGCAGAGAATGATCAATCTCTTTGTTTTCTCATTGCAGACACAGTATCCAGATCTTTGAGAACATAACATATGATCTTCCAGAACATAAAAACATTAACAGCAGTATCTTTTAAAAAGCAGTAATTTTGTCAGATTCACGGGAGCAGACCCTGTGCTTCTCCTTATCATCTTTCCAAACACAACTATAAAAATCTTTCTGAGTTAAGCTCTGTCTTTTGTACTGTATACTTACTTTAATATTATACATTTAACATTTTATAATCTCTTGCATCTTCCTTGGCACAAAACCCTTTACGGCCATCAGATAAGGACAACAGCCTTAGTTTAGCTGAGTACTCCCGAAATAGTAAAGAGTAAAGGTAGAACCCTAAGCTATAAAGGAGGCTGTAGTAAGTCTGTGGAAACATAAACTTCTGCTGAAAGAAAATGTAGTGAATGCTGGGAAATGATATATCTAACTTCAGCAAGCTGAACTAAATACATTTTAAGAGAACATCTGTCTAAATTTCTAAATCTGGAAAAGGCATACAAGACCTTATAGAAGTCTTTGAGCTTCCCCCAGGGAATGAGTATCCTAAATATTTAATATTCACTTCTAAGAGGATTTAGAGTATTGTAATCAGTAAGTCAACAGCATCTCAATAATGGGTCATCTGCAGGTGGCTGTGCAAAACATCAATATAGGTATACAGGCCTGACCAGAATTAAGGGGGTCCTAGCGGGCAAATCTGGTGCAGCTGATCACACTGGTTCTGCAGTGGCCACTCACTCTTTCTTCCAACCTTATCAGCATCTGCTCAGGTACATTCCCTCCCTTGAGTCAGCTCTGGAGCTTATTGCACCTCTTCTCAAAGGACTTCAATTAATTAATGCAGCAAAAACATGGGTTTGTTGAACCCTCTTAAGTGTACCTTGACTTGTGCCAGAGCTGACACGAAGAGTATTTTGATGAGCGTTAGTTCTGACACCCAGAGTGTTTTGATGAGTGCTTGTGCTGACACAGAGTAGGTTCACTGCTTGCTCCTGAGGGAGCACTGAGACTTTCTGCTTTCAGCAGCAACCAGCTGTGAATTCACTGTGACTGAGTGAACAGTTGTCCCATGGATGCTATCATTCAGAAATTTGTTAGCATTCCTCTTTTTGTTGCTGCTGTCGCTCACACTTAGATACAAAGTGGGGTTTTTTGTTTGTTTTTATTTTTTTTTCCTCTTTAACATCCAGTTTCTATTGACTCATTGACAAACCTTTTGCATTTGAGGTTCTGCCAGTACCTTCTATAGCCTAATTGTCTGCCTTTATGTTTTGGTGTATAGACTCTGGTGCATTCACATTCCCTCACAACTCAATTTTTTGCTAGCCTTCAGGAACCTCTCTGTGCTGCCAGGTAATGGAACTTTGTAAACAAAGCTGTCCAGTACCTGTCTGCAGTATTTGAAAAGAGTTCTCCTTTGGGCAGTGGTATTAATCTTACCTCAGTCTGACTGGAAATACATCTTCTTTGACGTATTCTGGGATGACAGTTGTGTTTTTCAGGAAGACACCCTATTTATTGATCTGGCAAATCATTTTACCAGACACAAGTGCGGTCATGTCTCTCTTCCTTATAAACCAGACCTTCCAAAACAACATGATAGAAATTCCCTCCATCCCTTAAGTGCATAAATTTGCTGTTTGTATAATTGAATTTGATCTTATTTCTAATATCCAGTGCTGAAGATCATCCAGGTCTTTCCTATGGGAGTTTTTATCATCTTCTTCTTTATTCCTTATGCTTTCCAATTCAACACTATCAGCATATTTCATTGGAACCCTCCTGGAATTTGTGCCTGGGTTATTAATGCAAATACCAAGCTGGCAGCTTTTAAGGCTGATGTGGGAGGACCCATACTGCCAACCTTGTCCTGCTTGTGGCTCACTCATGATTGTCACCAATGTCTCTATGAGCAACAAAGTCCATGGCCCTGTTCCCTGTTTGGCCAGAGCAAAGCTCCGGAATGGTGATCAGCCGCTGCCCTGGGTGCCCCTCTGCTGTTCCTACCCTCTCTCAGCAGGTCAGTTCACTTCTAGCCTGGGCGTTTTGCTGGTTTAAAGGAGAAATTTTCAATTTTGCTTCTTCTGCCGAGGGGGTCTCTAGTTATTGCCTTTTGTCCCAGCAGTCAACCTGCCTCTTCTCAGGTGTTCTTTACCAATTCTTCATCTTTTTCAGTTTAATCGCTACTGAGGTGGGACATTATCAAGTGTTTATACTGATTTAATCTCAGTAACATATTGCAGTCTTTGGAAATGCTTAGTTAAACTTATGATGCAGATGATGTGGTCCCTTCTAACTGTATCCATTCTGTGATTTTGTAATTTGCTTGGCTAGAAAATAATTATGAGAGAGAGGATTTGACTGGTTTTGCACTGAAGTGCCTTAGTAAATACAGCCTGCGTTTAATTTATATATGTTTGCCCCAGGTCTGATTGTTTTTTATCTTCAGCGTTTCTTCCAAATCCTTGTATACTTGAAGGCTGGGATTGCTGTTGCCCAGAGCTTTTTCCTCTAGCATTGCTAAAGCTGCAGGGCTCCCAGGCAGAGCGGTGGTGGGGATTCCTTGGGACAGGCCCTGCCCCAGGGGCCCCACCACAGTCTTCACACCTGCACTGTGAGCCTGCCTGGGCTGCAGCTCCCATGGCCGATGGCTTTGCTGACCTGTTAATTGTGGACCTGAGCTCACCGTATTGGTGTTACAAGGTCATTTTATTATTGTGCCATCATGTCCTTAGGAGCCTGCCAGCTCAGCTGCCACTTTCCCTCAGATTGAGTTGGAGTCACTCCTGATGTTTGTTCATCCTTCTGCTTTTTTCTTTTTTTAAAATCCACCTAACTTCTGTACTGTTCAGCTTTAGCAGCAAATAGGAAAGCCTCTTGAATTAAAATCGGTATCAGTGGCTGGTTTTGAAGCTTCCATGAAAAAACTCCCCCTAAGTTTTCCTTGTCCCACCTTCTGGTAATAAAAATCAATGTATCCCATGAACTGTGTAACTCCATTGGAGGTGGTTGTTTCAGTGATTTTTATGAACATTTTAGGAAAAGTATCCTGCAGGTTTTGCCCTTTTCAAATGTAAATGTTTAATCAGTGCTTGCTGAGAGGGAGTGCAAGAATACATGCACAAGGCTTATGGTTCTTTTTCTCTTCTTCTTGCAGTGACCTGCTGTCTTCTGAATATCTTGAGAGGCATATCGAGCAAGGTGGGAAGACAGTGGAAGTTAAAGTAAGAATTTCCTTTCTATGCATTGCGTTTTTAATTTTCTTGGCTTTTGATGTTAATGCAAACTCACCTGTTTTTGTGAAAGAAGAGAGATCTGATTTTTCAAGGAATTTGTTCTACTCTTCTGAGGCAAGCATGTTTCATGTTTTTTAACTTCTGACTTTCAAACAAGGCAAATAAAAGTCATTGGCAAATTTAGTATATTAATGTTCATATCAAAACAGTATCTATGAAAAATGTATATATAATAGTTCTTTTTAGTAATAAATATACTTTACTTTTGATGCCTGTTAAAGGAAATCCTTTTGTTTTGGTAGCTAGCCTTTCTACATTGTACTAATGCCCAAGTTTGTTGGTTATGAGCTTCTTTGTGAATTTGAGAATAGCAAGATATATGGTATAGTATTTTCAAATATCTAGTCATGGGTTTCTTTCTCTGTATGTTTGTTGGCATGATGACTACAAGATCCTATCTGTTGCAGTTTTCTTCTGTGAAATGTCCAACAGCCTTTGCAGAAATGTTTTCTTATATGTATGTAACATGGGAGATTTTTCTTGAGGACCTTCTGTTTGTTAGGACTTACTTTGTAGATGTCAGCTATAAAATTGCTGTAGATTACATAAAATGTGCACAAATGTATTTTATGCTGTGCATAATGAAAACTCTTTAAATTGGACTTTGAGGTAAATATCAGATAAAGTTTTGTTCAAAGTTTGTTCTAAAAATGTAAATTTATTTTTTTTAAAATCCCCCAGAGTGCTTTACTAGATCTGAGATCACCTAAATACTCTGAAACAAATGCATTAACCTCTGCAGTGTGAAAGTGGAAATGGAAATGGGCAAAGTAGTCCTTTACCCACTGAATAGCTAAAGATATCCTTTGGTTTACTCCCTTCTGTCATTTGCAAATGTGAAGTCTGCTCTTTTACTGTTATCAGAGATAATAGTCTGCATGCATTATCAGACTGAGGCAAACACATACGTGTTCCATTAAATTGTAAAGACTAATTTCTCAGTCAGCTGTGCTCTGCAGTCAAGAAGTCTTGACTGAGATTCAGAATATGAGTCAAAGCAGAAATAAGGATAATAGCTGATATTAATAAGAACAAACCAATCCATTTGTCTGCATCAAGGTATATATTCAAGTTGTCTAAGTTAATCTATCCAAGTGCCGTCACTGAATTAGCACAAATCTGTTTATGATGAGCAAGCCTTAATCAAGCAAGGAAATGTTTGAAATCAGTGGCTCTTTATGTCCAAGTAATGTTTAATTACACAAGGCAGTGACAGGAGGATCAGGCCTTTTGGAGGAAGGGTCATAAAATGATTTAGGCAAAACAGCTCCCAGTCTCCAGGATCCCAGAGATTATTTCCTCTTCAGTTAGCTTCCATGCAGGGTCGTGGTATTCCTTCAGGGATGGCTATCACTGCCTTGCATAGTACTCTCCAATCTGCTTTAAGTAGAGAACCATTGCTGCATGGAGCTTGATACTCGAGATAAGCTGAACTGGGAGTGAAAGGGGCGTGAGATTGTACTGTAAAGGAGAAGGGTTGCTGCTCAAGTGGTGTGTTTTCCTCTCCATGCTGCCTCATACCTTGCATACCCATGGGCAGGGATGCAGGGGTGGATGGGCAATACAGGGGGTCTCTTCTGCCCTCTCGTCTTCCACTGCTCCAGGATTTCTGCAGGCAGCAGTCCCATGGAAGCATGCTAGGAAGGGGGATGTAAATTTTTTGCTTGTTTTATTTGCACCCAAGTGTGTGGGATTGGAGGAGAGGGAAGCAGCTGCTGTGACAAAATGTCAAAAGAGCCTGTTGGCCCTAGCCATGGGAACATTTTCAGAAAAGTTCAGATACTGAAAGATTTTTGGAAGAGTGCTGGCTACCAAGTACATTTTGATACCAACTCCAGAGTGAAGCTGATTTCAGTACTCAATAGCTGTTTAAAAATAAATCTGATACTTTCTGACCATTATTTTTTAGAGCCACCTGTGAGTGCATTAGAGACCTTCATTTGTCTGTTGAACAGTTTCTGAAAAGCCCTGCAGTATCTATTTTACATTTGAGAAACTGAGCTCTGGTTTCACATCAAATGTTTTGAAAATCTTACTGCAAATCAAAGACATTTTCATTATAGTGACTTAGTATCTTCCATTTCTGGAAGATGCTAAGTCACTATACAAGAAATTGTTTACCATAACTGGTAACATAATTATTATACTAGATTTTGGGGATTGTGCAGTTTGCTTAGATACTTATTTAAAAATAGCTAGCAAAAGGGTGCAACTTATAAATAAATTGCAAAATATGCATTCTGCTATGCAGCATATTCTTAAGCAGAAGCAGAAGAGGTATTTCAGAAAGGAACCAGCTTTCTATCAGTTGCTCCAACATGCTGCTCTTCACCCACCTCTGTGAGATTTGTCTTGGCCGTAGGCAGAGACAGAGGCGACCTGGCAACATCTCTCTTGCTGCTTTGGTGGGAGAAATGGTGACAGAAAGAAAATGTCCATCTGCCATCCACTGCCAGGTGCAGGCTTTGAGCAAGCCCGTTTATACAGCAAAATGGCCTCCTCTGTTCTTGGCCTTCTTACTGGCTACAGAAAGGTGTATTTTGAAATACATGCATATTTCCACTTGCATTTCTCTGTGCAGGAAGGCTGCACAAACACACGGATCGTCAGTGCTACTCTTGTGCCATCGGCAATATGGGAGAAGTCGGGAGCTTTGAATCGCTGTGTGAAGGCAGCTGTACATACACTCAGCAGTTTGGGAATGTTACAGGCATGAATGTGTCTGGAGAGTGGATGCCTGCCTTGGCTCATATGTGATGTGGAGTTGATAACTACTTCTGCCACTCCTCCCCCTCTCCTTGCCTCCCAGTAAAACTTCCTGTGCTGTAAAATACATATGGATCTTCTGCCATTACTGAGGATGCTTCAGAGAGGAGAGGGGGGCAGGGAAAGGGAGAAACATTCAGATCATGAAAAAAATACTGCTTTGAAGTAGCAAAGGGATTTTCATAGGGAGAAGTGTCCTCAGTTTAACGTACCTTTTTATCATAAGAGAAAGTTGCATTACATTTGATTTCTGCATAATTCATTAATACGTTAGACCGTTGTGAAGGTGGAACATGTTACACATGTTTTTGCAGGGTGCCAGCATTTAGTTGCTGCAGAGGAGAAGCTTCTCTGTGAGGTGCCCTTGTTAATTTGGCACAGTTAGGCAGCACCTATGACGTTCTTTTTAAACCAGCAGCAAGGGGCCATACCTAAGAAAAAAATGTTTGAATTATTTCAGTGTTTCCCCCCACACCCTCCTTTACTGTACATCATGTCTCTAACTGCTAGAAAAGCGGTGACGTTGGCCTAAATTTCCTCTGGTAGCAAAGAGAATAATCAATTAATAAGAAAGAGAAAAACCCTTCTTGGCTTTGCCTTTTCCTGATTGTGTCATTCCAGATCATCCTATGCTCACAGCACATCAATACTCAACCTGTGTATACCTAATGTTGTTGCAGTATATCTCTGTGTCCTTTTATCTCTCTCCCTCTCTCTCTTTTTTTTTTTTTATGGTTATCATTCTGTCACTGATGCTGTCAGTGAGATGAAAGGCAAAAAACAGCTATAGTGCTGAGTAATTCATTGCTGGATTTTTCTCCCTCAGAAAAAACAACTGATATCTATTCAGTGATATTTTCTCATATAAAATGTTTCAGTTTTCCTCTTCAGGGTGTGTAGAAATAGATGTTTCTTCTTGTATTCCCCCAAAACATTGAACAATTCTATGAATTCTTAGAAAATAGCTTTCTGAAACAAAATAAGCAATGAAAATAATTCATATCTCCAGTCAGAGAACTTGCACAGGTAGACTTGTGGTAGATAAATACCAGAAATTCTTGATGGCAGATTTAAACTTAACTAGAGGGAACTATATTTCATAGGCAATCCTTAAAGCCTAAAATTCTTTAGTGTGGTGGTGTAAACACATTATATGTATTATGGGCACAAAATTACACCCAGAGTGCTATTTTAATGCCTCTGCACAAGAGGCGACAATTACTGTTCGTCATTGTCTTAAAGCCTCAGCTTGTATGTGCCATGATGTGTATTTGAAGGGCTCTTTACGTGCCCTTTTTTAGGAAAATAATATAGAAGGGAGAAAAATATTAGAATCTTGAAAGAGTGGAGGAGTTTGGGTACCCTTGACATGGTGAATATTACTTTTTCAGCTAAACTTTCTCCTTCAGTTCTGATCTGCTCAAAGGAGTTGTTTAGGTACAGTTCCTTGACTGAGAGCAGTATGTGTGTGAATCTCATCTTAGTGCCTGTGTTTGCTGAGGCCTTATCCAAAGTAGCATTCCAGCATTTCATTGTTTCTCCACAGGTACGTGGAGACTGATCGTATGTCTACAATAATTTGTGGTGCAGCCAGAATAAACACTGAACCTGTGAGCAGGTCGTTTTAATTACTGACTGCTGTGTTTCCAGTCTTATAGCAAGGTGCTTCCACCAGCATCTTCTAGTTAGGGCATCCACTGTTTGAGCTCCATAGAAGAGTCTCTTCACTTTTTCTTCAACTTTTGGTAACTCACCATTTTGTAACCACAGAGGAAGGTGTGTCAGTTGCCAGAAAAGCCTGTGTGCTAAAGGTGCTTTCCTGAACAGGGGTTACATTTTCTCCTGAAGAAAGAAGGAGAGCTGGGCTGGTGGGAGGGAATGGGAGGGAAGCTCAGGAAGACTCTGCTCTGGGAGACTGGAGCCTGGGGCTGGTGGGGAGCTGTGCGTGCATGTACCTGGAACTTGCACAACCTGGTGATGAGCCCCTGAGGGAAAAAATAAACTGAAAAGGAACAAATCATAAATAATGCAGGAATTATATATGCCTATTTCTGGCAGAGCTTTTTCGTCTGTGTCCAGAGACTAGAGAAGCTGTTAGTATTAGAAAAATGACTCTCTAGCTTGTTTGAGAGAAGATTTTGAATGTGGGTTCCCATAATGTC